CGCAATCCTTGATATTTTCAATATTTTTTGCCAGCACCACAATTTTGAATGCATCAATTCTTCCTTGGTCGTCTTTACTCAATGTCCATTTATTTATGTCACATGCATATGAGGCAACTGATGATACCATGGCTTGGGGCAGATGTACCTTAGTCCTCAGAGTAACATCCTTGCTTTTCAGTACTCTGAAGAGGTTTTGCGCAGCAGATTCACCTAATGCAATGTCTTTTGATTTCTTGACTGCTGCTTCCATGAGCATTGACTGCATCCAAGCAACACAAAATCCTTGACAACTTCAACCTTTTCTCCATTTCTCATGATGTGACCTACTGGTCCAGTTGTGAAGATTTGGGTCTTTGTGTTGAGTTGTAACCTTACTGAAGGCTGAAGTCCTTGAGCTTCCTCAGCAAGTGCTTCAAGCCCTCCTTACTTTCAGTAAGCAACGTTAGTGATGTCTTATGCCTGACACCACATTCTTCATCTAGTCCAGCTTCTTTGTTTACTTGCTCAACATGCAGAGGGCACCACCTTGACACCATTCCCGACTTTAGACATGCAGTGTGTCCTTGGTCTGTTCCATCTGCAATGAACCACTGGGGTTCACTCATCTTTGCTGGGGTGAAACCCAGGTGAGGCGGCTCACGGCGGGTTAGTCGGTGAGCACCAGCAGCCGCCCGTGCCTCACTAAGGAGTCCGAGTGGTGCAGGGGGTTCACGGTTGGGCTGCTAGCCCAGAGGTCCGTTGTCAGACCCACTGGGTGTGCTGGAGCACAGGGAAGCAGTGTGAGTCTTGGATGATCGCTGCAGACACACACGGGCAGTTCTCTGCCCGGCAGGGTGACTGGGAGGAAGGCTCGGCGGAGGGTCGTGGGTTTGGCTTCTGTTGGGTACCTTGCTAAATGAGTATTCCATTCCTGGGGGAGGGAGGGAGGCGGGGGATGGAGTGAGTCATCCTTGGTAGGCTTGCATTCCACACGGGGGACAGTGGGAGTGAGAAACAGAAAGGGCCCTACAGACCCTCAGCCTCTTCCCTGCAATAGCGCCACCAAGGTGCCCACACACCAGGTGGGGCAAGGCTGGGGTTGCTTCCAGGGGCAGGGTGGCAAGTCTGGGAAGGAGGGCAGGTGCAGTGCTTAAGAGTATGGACAGTGGTCATGGGGTGACCCAGAGAGCTCCCAGACTGCCCCAGCCCCGGGCACTGCAGATGCCCTTTGAGTGGCACAGCAAGAGGCTGGCACTTCTGGTTTGACTCCAGGAGGAGAGGTGGGGGGGGGCTGTGCGGGCTCACGGGTCCTGCCCCCACAGACTGTGAGCACATGGCTTGTCTGGAGCAGTGTTCAGTGACTGTGTTGCTGCTGCTGCTGCTGCTGCTGTTTCCACTGCCCGGGCCGGTGCTCCTCCAGCAGGCTCAGAGTCACACCCACCAGACGTACAACCACAAGGTGAGCACACACATGGGGGGGTGCTGGTACACTGGATGCCAGCCATCCCCAACCTAGCCCACCTTACCCAGATGGACCCCTGAGGCGGGTGGGTCCCATTTGGGGGGGGGTGAGGGGGGGTGCTCTTGGCCATGTATCTGGGCCTCCCCCCCTCCCAAAGAGGGTCTGTGCAGGGTGCTCCCACACATGGGGTCCGATGCTCCAGTCCAGACGAGGCCTCGGGGCTCCATCAGCAGTCAGCTCCTCTTCCCAACAAGCTCTTGAGGCCGCCCTGGCCCCCAGCTCCCAGTGAGGAAGCCCTAGGGGACTGAAGAAATCGGGGAGCTGGACACAGTAGGAGGCCATCATATGGCAGGGTTCACACATCCTTTCCACGATGGTTCCTCCTGGTTCCCTTCTCAGCGAAGGTCCCCCAGAAACCCAGGCTCTGGCTAGAGCCCCCCTACTGGTCCCCCCAGGGAATGAGGAGCCAGCCTTAGGGCCTGACTCCCTGTATGCTTCCCTCCGGCTCACATCCTCCCAGTCAGTCAGCTCTTCCTCATACCTTGGTGACAACCAACCTCATGAGGTCCAGCATGTCCAGGTGCTCCAGGCCTTTGGGGGCCAGGGCGTCAAAATTAGATTCACACCAACACTGAGCTGTGTGGACCCCTTCCCTCTCCCTTCTCAGGCATACAGTGGAGTGTCACACTGCCATCTCGTGGCAGGGCTTATATAATTTTGTGAATTTGAAGAAATGTACCTTATCCAACCATCCCTTAGCACCAGAGACTCCTCAGGACATTTGTACATCGCTCATTCTATCAAAATCCCTATTTTCCCAGGCCATTCTAAATGCCTCCTATTACTGAAAACGCTTGGTTTCAGTAACAACACAAAAATCAGAAAATACTGTACCTACTTCTTGAAAGGGCTTGGCTGGATGCTGAAAAATCTGCACTAACATAAGACATAGAGACTTTGAAAACTTGTTAATTTTTTTAATTTCCATTTGGAAAATTACTTCATGAAGATACACTACATGGGAATTTATTATTGTTATTTGCAGGCTAACTGCCTTAGGCACAGTTGAAACTGTGTCAAATGCAATCAAAGTCCACAGGGAGGACCCACATACACAAAACCTCTTGGGTCCTCAGGGATTGCCTCGGGTTGTAAAGGCGTTTCAAGACCAAAGGCTTTGGCCTAGAGTTTCTGTTTGCAGGGACAGAGGCCGAGCTCACATGTGGCTTCTGCGCTGGAGGTGGTGGAAGTGCTGGGCTCCGGCACTGGACACAAAGCCTGGCCCCTAGCTGTTTACTCCGGCTCCCTTCCCATCTGAGCCCGTTTCTTCAGCTAAGCTGTAGTGCCCTGTGTGACTGTCCGGCATTGTCCACCGTGGGCACCGTCTCCTCCAGGCCCTGCTGCTCTGCCCCCCACCAGCTCCCTTCTCCTGGTACCTCAGTTGACCTTTGTGACTCAGGGCACACGTTGTGACTGCAGGTCCCTCTTGCCTCCCCTGGCCATCCCACCTCTGACAATGGGAGCCCTTCTGGCAGGCTCCCCAAACGGCGCAGCCCAGTCATGGGTCGGGGCATGAGGAGACTTGAAGCTGAGCTGTCCAAACCCAGGCGCCTTTCCCTGGTCTGGGGCCAGTGACACAGGCAGCCTCGCTTCACAGGGCATTGGCGAGGTGTGCAGGGAGCACCAGGAGTGCCAGAGCCAGTGCTGCGTCACCAACAGCCTGAACCCCCAGAAGTTCTGCACCCCCCAGACCATCTTCCTTCGCTGTGTACCCTGGAAAAAGGTGGGTCCCGGGTGCCTTGGGGTTGGGGAGGAGGCCGAGGAGCGAGGGCCGAAGGGTCCGGAGGAAGGGCAGGCTTCGGATTTGTGCAGCCCCTCAGGTACAGCTGCGTGGAGAACAGGGAGTGCCAGAGCTCTTGCTGCGCCTTGAGTGAGGATGGGGTGCATAAGGTGTGCACGGCCAAGACTGTCTTTCTACAGTGTGTGCCCTGGCGCAAGGTGAGCCCACTGGCCCAGGGACCCAGCCTGAGGGGGGAGGGGCCCAGGTGCCCAGAGGACGGCCTGACTCGTGTCTCGGCAGTCCAACATGGAGTACTGCAGCCACCACGACGAATGCTTGAGCAGGTGCTGCCTCAAGCTGAGGGAGCACAGCCACTACCGGTGCATCCCGAGGAGAGGCCTCATCGCCCAGTGCCTGCCCCTGTCGGTGAGCCCTGCCCCTCCCCCCCGATGCTGGGACTGCTGTCGAAGCCCACTTTCTGCGGGAGGCAGGTGTGGAGATCTTCCTAGTGATGGGCGCCCACGAAACCCTGTGGGCAAGTGACTGTCCCCAGGGGTCACAAGAAGCTGGGACTGCCTTGGCAGCCCCTAGGACCAACAGCCACCTGTGTCTAAGTCTGTGCTTCCACGGGCTGTCTAACATGTGACATTTCCCTGTAGCGCTGAGAACCCGGCACTCGCTCGCACTCAAGAGCTGTACCCTGGAGATGTCCATGCTGGATGTGGTCGCGCCTGGGATCAGTTCAGCATGAAGTGTGGCTACTGTTTCTCACTCCCCCTCGGGCTCTGGATATCGATGGGGACTGGACACACGTGTGGCCTGCTCTGAGCTGGGAATCCATTTTAGCCGATAATGTCAAGTAGCTGGTGGTCCCTGGAGGGGAGTCCCACTTCCAGAGAGACAGCCAGTACAACTGTTCCTGTTTGAGCTAAGAGGATTGCCCCACAGACCAGCTCTGCACATCGTGAGACTGTTTATGCTTTTGTCCTTGGGAATAAAAAGAAAACGTACACTTCTGTACACTAGAACAGGCCCAAAATACGTTTTGTCCATTAGCATGATTATTTCAGTATACGTCTATCTGTGTCCATTAGCATGACTATTTCAATATACGTCTATCTGTAGCTTCTGTGCCATGTAAGAGGGCCAGGCTGCTTTGCACAGTGCTGGGCTATTTCTTCATAAATATGAGCTAGGAACCCTGGGCTCTGCAGAGATAGGAGGCGGCTAAACTGCAAATCGAACTATAAAACGAAAAAGCAAACGCTTTTTGTTGATTCCTTAAAAGTCGAAAGCGCACAAAATTAAAAAAAAATACAAATTCATTAACGCATCT